TCTGTTCTGGAAAGGTCTGTCTTTGTTGTTGTTTGAGTTGAAGTCTAGCTCCACAAAACCCAGCCCACAAAGAAAATTGAACCCTTCAGCCCTCCACAACATGCCACATAGAACGCATCAACTTAAGGGAGTTTGTGATTTCCACCACGCAACTCGCGGCCATTTGGATAGTCGCCACCAAGCTTCCTGGGCGCAGCTTTAGTTCAACACAAGCCGCCAGCCAGCTGGATGTGTCCAAACACGATTGGGCCTTCGGCACAGGCCTGGGCTTCCCACTTTTGTACGGGCCCTTTGCATGCCAGCAGTTGTCTAGTGTGTTCTAGGTTTGCCGCAAAATGGAACTGCCCAAAGAGAAAACTCCCTTTGGCCCTTTGGAACCACACTTCTTTCACGGGCGTCAACACCTTGCGGTAGGAAAGTCCCTGGGATCCGTGTCAGCCTGAGTACCAATAAGCACGGCACATAGTCATAAGTCATGGTCACCATAACACATTCACAAAAGTTGCCTAACGCCCCTAAAGAGCCCATGGCCATACCAACCCAATACCATGGCTGGCTTTTCCTTGGGCACCGGTTGCCCGCGCTGATTCGTGTCGAGCGAACTATTCGAGCGAGGTATTCCTCGAGCTGGCGAAAGAAGGTGTTGACCTCCGGCCAGGCGCCCCCCAGATGCTGTACCTGATGATGCTGGTCAAGGTGGCGCGCCCGCGCGCTCGGGCGTTTGTGTGTGTGTGTGGAATAGAACAAGTTTGCAGGCTACTTTGCACTCACTTTAAACTCATTTCAGTCGAGTCATGATTGCGGACCCTAAAAGGGCTTGCCCCACCCCCCATTGCCGGCTTCTGCGCAGCGCCTCGTGCTGCAACCAGGCGGGGACGCCCAGAATGCCTGCGATGTCCGTCCTTCAGAGCGCCATAGGCGGGCATTTTGGAGACCGGTTGTGAGGCTGGCCAAAGGGAAAGCAAAGGGAAACCCACTCTTCGGAGGATTCCCTCACAAACAGAAAAAAACTGGGCTTGAGTGGCCCCGAATCAAAGTGCCCTGGATGCCCCCCACCAAACTGGAAGCAAGATTGCAGCAACAGCTGGGGCTTCTGTTGAAACATACGGGTAAGCTAGATGGTGAGCTCCATTTGATTTCAGAGCCCCTGGACAAACTACTTTTCACCCGCCGGAAATAAGGAACCAGGTGCACCAGAGTGAGATGACTCAATTCCAGCTTGGGAATTGTGCCATATACTTTCACCAAACTGGAGCCTTGCTGGGTAAGCTCATTGCCCTAAACCATCCCATGTTTGCGGGCAAATTTGATTAGGGGCATGCGTCCATCGAACATATGGGTCTGTCTTTGGTAGGGTACCCTTTTTTGGTTTGCTTTCAAGGGAAATGAAAGGAAAACAACAATTTTGGGGACTCGCCCATATTCTGCGCACTTCCAAGGGATGCCAACTTCTTCCAAAAGGGCTGCAACCCAAAGGACGCCCAACCACACTTCAGGCGGGGGCTACCCTCCGAGCAGCCATGAGGGGCGCATAAAGACCAATACAAATGGGTGTGTGTTTATGTGAGGGTACCTTTTTGTGGGTTGAGGGGGGGCCAATGGAAAAGACAACACCCGCTTACGGGTCCCTCATTTAGAGACACGCTAATTTAATATACGTGTAACCAAAAACGCCAACACGAGGGGACTAATCTGCAGTATGCTGCATCTTTGACGAGCTCTCACCCAGCCCCGTCTTATGGAGGGACCTCGTAGGACTGTAGAAAACCTCCTTAAGGGTCACTTTACTTGCGCATGTTTCCCCCAAAAAGGTCAAAATGTAAACCCTGCTCTCACTCGGTGGGATCGCCGTGTCCAATAGGTCCTCTGGAGCTTGGCGGTTTGCTGAATCAGCAAGAGCGCCGGCTCATCCTCCAGCCAGCTCCCGGCAATCGCAGCAACAGCCTGGCTGCAAAGGTACGCCTGGGTTTTTGCGTAAACGCTGATCGCTTGCTAAAAGTGAAACTGTTGGTGGGATATGTCATGAACAGCTCTAAACTCTGAAAGTCTTTCTTACTGTAACTCTAAAAGACTCAAAGTTTAAGGGTATACAAATGTTGACAGTATGGGTGGGATTCGCCAAGTTGAGCAAACAAAACCGACGGCTCTTTGTCACAAACAAGAAGCAAAGAGCACAAGCCTCACTGAACCTAGAGTTTACCCAAGATTCAAGGCCTTGCACCTCCGCGGGCAGGCAAAGCCGCTACCAACAGCACGAATCACCGCCCTCCTCGTCCATAAGCCGCAAAAAGAACCGCAATGAGATTCAGCCGCTGCCATTAAGCTTTACACCTCCTCAGGTGTCCCCATAGCTCGATTCGTTTCCATCCACTCCAGCTTCTACCCCAAGATGTGTGATGCTGGCCCCAACAATGTGTTTGTTTATGTTTGGTTTCTGATTTAACCAACCTGAACAGGGTAACAACTCCAAAAACATACACACACACACACACACAGTTCTCCAGACCATGTCCCGTCAAACATAATCCATCAGTCCATCATAATTTAATCATAATATGATTGTTTGGAAGCCACAAAGCAGGACAAACCCACAATGATTTGTTTCCTTTTCGTTCCTCTCGGTCTGTTCCAGTCATCTAATTATGTTTGTTTCGAAGCCGCTGAACAGATTCCGCCCCTGCCAAAAAAGGAAAGGAAACCAATCCGGAAACTCCGCCCGCGCCTGGCTCAGCAAAAGAAGCGCCTCGACCTGCCCACCAACCCAGCGACTTGAGCGGCGGGATAGCGGCTGGTGCGGATTGGATGCATGTGCCGTGTGCCGCTCAAAAATTATGGGGTGATAGTCTCTTTTTAAAGGTTAGTTTGAAGGTTCAAGTATTCTTTTGTAGTGATGTTCATGGGGGACATGGGGGACCAAAGGGAAACCAAGAAGTGCGTGGCTTCCCCAGGTTTGACACACCCAGTTCCCTTGATGTTCACTTGTCAAAGTAACCTCCCTTTGGGATAAGGGCTCCCTTCTTGGTTCCAAGTTGATTTGCAGGGACGCGGTTGCAGGTGTCTACACCTCAAAAATGAGTGATGTTCAAGAATGAGTGCTCTCTCACGGCCAATTGAGCTCCTTGCAATTTGTATACGCTGCAAAATGAAAATCTCAGCATGCCTCTGGTCAGGTTCCTCTTGGCTTCCTTGCGCCCGCGTCAAGATGCCTCCTTGAAGCAGGCTACCTGCCCCCCAACCACTACGCCAGGAAAAGAGTGGGAGGCAATAATGACTTGCACTGGCGCAGCTAGAGCAATCCTATTACTAGGCATTTAATTTCTCAGCCAAGTGAGAAACTCTGGGGTAATTACATGATGCAATGTTCACAACTCCCCCATGCCCTGGCCGAATCACCCTTGCACCACTCACCACAGCTCCACACACAATTTGGGGTAAAAATGTGCAATTGGAAGCCCTTCGGTGGAAATAGTCTATCTCTCTTTGCTCTCTCTCGCTCTCTTCCTCTCCCTGGGCCAGCATCCAGCGGGAACTTATGTCCACCAAACCCCTTTTTGAGTCGCACCTGTCAAGCCCAAACGTGAAAAACAAAAAAAGCACAGAAGGCCCGGCGCCAACTCCCCTGCGCAGTCCCGGGCCGTCCCGGAGCGTCCCTGCCTGCCGAGGCATCCGTTTCAGTTATCGAATGGGCTCAGCTTCAACGCTTGAGCCAACTGCGTGCGAGGCGAGGGCATTGCGCTGTCTGTAGGTCTGGCAGCCTCGTGCAAATGGCGTGCGATCTCATCCATGATGAAGGCTCTTGTCTTGGCTCTTAGTCCGGGCGGGTGAACTACGACAATTATCGGCCTAGTTTGGCGTTGTTGGCATCCTTAACCCGATCACAAAGGGGTGCCTAGTCACACAGAAGTCCCCACGGAAACGACACCTCCAGCCCAAGGCACCCAAAGTGGCCCCCAATTCAATGCCGGGCATGTGAACAGTTGTAAAACAAGATGCGTTGCACTTCAGCATCTCAAACGCTTCGTTGATCTGCATTAACTGCTGTGTCTGGCCTAAAATAAAGATGCCACAAGGTACCTTCAGCATGCTACCGTGTGTTGCCCCAAGGTGAGTTCGCCATAAAGTAAGCAGTGCCGATTCAAATTACGAGGCACCTTAAAAAGTGACAAACCGTCATTGATGAACCTGGGGGTGAATGATCCTGGGTCCTCAGTAGCCAGAAATTCACATGGCACGCTGTCATCTTGAGAATGGCCCCATCTGCAATTCCAAAACCTGGAGCAAGGGAGCCACAATCGCAGAACCTTCTCTTCCATTTGCTTAAGCCCCTCGAACACAGCTATCTCGAGTAGTGATAGATTCCAAAACCAACCTTCAGGGAAGTAACTGCGCAAACGGCCCCTTAAATTCCGTTCCTTGCTGGACAAGGCCCATCTTCTTGTCCGTCTTTCCCGACGTGGGACAGCACTGCAGGATTAAGTGTTGAACTGGAACAACGTAGGAAATAAAGGCTACACGGGGGGGGACTAAAATCAAAACTAGAAACCAAACGGCTACCAGCAAACCAAGCAAACCACACACCCTGTCGAAGAACTTACTGCGGCACCTTTCTCGGCCAATGATCCCCACGCCCTGTTCCCCACTGACTGTTGAGCAAAGAATCGACACATATACGGTATTTGTAGAGGAATCTCGTTTTGGAAGACCCCTTTCTTTTGTTGCTGCAGCGGAACAGTTCAATGTTCCCCCCCGCACAAGAGTGGGTTTATGCCCAGACCATCTGAACTCTAGCCTTCCGTTGCCGGAAATGGGGATCTCCCAACAGGGGGGCACGCCCACAGTGCAGAAATGGGGGGGCAGTTGTTTGTGGACGCAGTATTGGCCCAAGAAAAAGAAAAAAAGAAACACCACACACGCAGCAGCCGAAAGTCGCAGGGGCAGGGCAGCTCCAGAGTTGTTTGCTCTGATGCAGAGGGACCCCCCACGTGCCCTTCTAAGGGCAC